AAAAAGAAAATTCTAAACAAGCCATTAAACAAACCAGCCATTAAATAAACCAGCTTTTGGGTATTTTCTATATGTTCCTTTGAGTTGAACAATGTGAAAGTAGAGAATAGCATAAACGCTTTAACATTAGTTAAATGAAATAATGCTAAATGAATGAAAAAATTTTCATCCATGACATATAGTTGAGGAGGCTTTCACCCCATTGCTACCCCTACACCAATGCATATTTCAAAAAAATTTAGTATTTAAACAAAAACTTTCCATACTTCATTCACAACATCCGTTTTAGCTTCCTTCTCTAACAGAATTTTGACAGCTTCAATGCTACCACTCTCAACAGCATTAAACAATGGAGTTCTGTTCCTCTATAAATATAACATCAATTCAATTATGTGCTTTTGATGATGTGCATTGAAAAAATTTACTTTGTCTAAAGCATTTACATCAGTAACTCCTTTTTTAATCAAAAGCCGAAGCATTTTAACTTCACCAGATGTACCAGCACAATGCAGTAGAGTTTCCCCACCCTATGATAAGATACTTTAGTAATACTATAACAGTGATATTACAATTTTATATAGGCTCATCAAATAAAAACATAATTTTTGTGGTAGTTCTTTCATGTCCCATTGAGTTGAACAATGAGAAAGTAGGGGGCTTAGGTTGAAAAAACATAAGTTAAAAATGAAACAGTGCCTAAATGAGTTATAATTGTCATCCATCAAATAAAACATAACATCCATGATGTATAGTTGAGGAGGCTTAAGCCCCCTGCTACCCCTAGACCAATGCATAGTTCTGAAAAAACTCAGTTTTTAAATAAAGATTTTCCATACTTCATCCACAACATCTGTTTTAGCTCCATCCTTTAATAAACTTTTAACAGCTTCAATACTACCACTCTGAACAGCATTAAACAATGGAGTTCTGTTGTACTATAAATTATACAGTCTAAAAATAATACAAATAAACAAATCTTACTGTATCTACTATATCAGTTCTAGCTCCATTAGTTAATAGAATATCAACAGCTTCAATACTACCACTCATAACAGCATTAAACAATGGAGTCCTGTTCCACTGCAAAAATAACATAAATTAATGTGACTATAAAATTTTATAAAGATTACCTTATCCAATGCATTTACATCAGCTTTTCCCTTAGTTAACAATAAGTTGGCCATATCAGCATTATTGGTTTCACTTGCATAGTGTAATGCAGTACCATGAAACTACATCGAATTAACAATAATAAACTGTTCATGCATAAGAAGTATGCATACATTATTTTATGATCTGCCATTTCATAAAATATAAATAATTATTTGTGATTAAAACTTAAGTGCAATTTACGTACGATGGTGACTGGTAAGTTTTCATAATTGTCAAATTGAAAATCACAAAAATTTTTGACAATCAAAATGTGGAGCTATTCTGATACAGAGTATCAGAAATGAATTTAACATTAAAATAAAATACACTATAACCATTGCCATAGATACATATGATGATAATGCCAAATTAAACTTTACTTTTCCCACATAGCATCTCGTCTTACCACGTGTGGCAAGACATATTTCTCCCAAATGAAAATTTCTAGATTGTCCCTGCCTAATATTGTGATGGTAATTGAGATGGTGGTGGGCTAAATTTATTTTAAAAACTGAATACCATATAGCACATATATTTTGTGGACAATAAATT